TGAGTAAATGAGCGGTGGGACACGAGCTACCCCGTACCCATAGGGAGTTAAGCATGTTCTTGAATTTAAATGTTCCTGCCGAACTTTACATAGTACTTGTTTCGATAAAATTTCACTTGTTACAAGTACAAATGTCTCAAAGCAATTGCAATGCAATATTCTTAAATTCAGCACGGACATTAATATATCTAGAACATTCGACCCTTGCTTCCCTTTGGTGCACTGTGCACCGCGTCGGTAGCAGACAGCAAAGAGCAGAAAGCTAGGAGAGGGAGCTGGGAGAGGAAGTCGGGTGAGGGGGAGCAGGGCGGGCGCGCAGGAGGAAAACGCAGAGAGCTGGGAGAGGGGGTTGGTAGTGGGAGCCGGAGCAGGGCCCTGAGAACTGGAAGCGGCGCCGCAGGGAGCAAGGCGCGGAGAGCTGGGGGCAGAGCAGAGGGAGCTGACTGAGGGTGGCTCCTGGCCGCCTCTTCATGAGACACTCATAACGCGAAATTCCAGAGGAAACGGGGAGGAGGGTCGAGGACGGTAGATGTGCTGTGTGCATTTGAGGGACGCGAGAGGAGAGACAGAGAGAGAGGAGGGGGCGAAGGGGAGGGGGGGGGGGGGTTTTACACCCTCTATACTCATGTTCACGTCAAGAGTATGGCAACCATGCGGGGCGCGCGGCGAGCGGCGGCGGGCGGGGCCGGACCATATCTCTGATTAGGACTCATGAACGCCCTCCATCAAGCCTCCAGGGGAAGGGGCCGGGCAGGCGCCGGGCAGGGGCGGCCAGGGGCGGCCAGCGGAGCGGGGAGATCGGTTTATGGTCCGGCCCGGTCAAGAGACAGCGGCAGCAGCTTTGAGGGCCGAGCCAGGCCGAGCCAGGGGAAGAGGGGTAGGGGGAGAGTGGAAGGAGCACAGAAAATATATTACCGCCTCAAATGACTGGCAATAGATCGGCCAAAAGATTCCGCGCCACTCGGGGATTGCAGGCCGAGGCCGGCCGGGCCGATCCAACATTAATGCGGCTCTCAAGGGGCAGCGGCGCCGCGCGCGCGCGCCTCACGGACGCACATCTGACGCGCTTCCCGCGCCACGGGCGCCGGAAAACGGGCGGGATAAAAATATACAGAGGCAGAGTCTTTTCCCCCTCTGTTTTCCGAATTATTGTTTATGCCTCGGAATCGGTCGGGCCGGTGCGCCGGCCGGGCCGTGCTGCTGGCCCCGGCCCCACGATGAGCTGCGATCAACGGCCCGGCGCGGGGTGGCGCGGCGTGGCGGCATTCATAAGTTATGCGATTGGGCGTGTTCAAACCGGAGGGAGGGGCGCTGGAGGGGACTGGTGAGGCCGCCACTCACCCCCCTCGCGCACGCAAGCCAACACCCTTTCTCTGTCTTCCACCGCCACAAGTGGTTCCGTCTCCAGGTTAACTAACTTTTTGCAGAGGCGAGCAGCGAAGGGCAAGGAGGAACACTGCATGGAGTGAGACCTGAGTGAGACGCGGCGCAGCGGTCACGGGCCGTGTGCTCAGCCAATCAGGACGCCGCTTACTTTCCATCAGCGCCTGTTGTTAGTCCGGCCGCCGGGCCCGCCGGCCCCACCGACAGCACCGCGCTGGACCGGGGCCAGGAACTTTCATCTGCTGGTCGGGGATGCCCCCGGTGTGTGATGTCCTCTTCGTCTACACACCTACAGAATTTGGGGCAATCAAGAATGTGCTTGTATCAAGCCTACATACCTACATACTCAAGAACAATGGTAT